ACTTACACATAGGTCAAACATTATTCAGTGAAAATCTCAGAAATAAATTTACCTCATAACTGCATTTTCATCCCACTCATCAGAACATATTTGAAGGCAATCTTGCTAATTTTAAATCAATGCCATATGTTGATCCAAATTCAGCATTATTGACTGTAATATAATAAGTTTATCTGTGTCTTGAGGAGGGTATAGCATTTCTGTTTAGGTTTTAAATTTAGCTTTGTTGTCAAAAATAGAGTCTAGCTTAGAATTGTAATAGAGACTGTTTAAAATAACAAATATGTCGAATTTATCACTCTTCTAAATTACAATGTTTTTTTGTTTTTTTGTAATTTTTAAATTTTGTTTATGCTTACCACACACATGGAGGTGCTGTAAAGATTTTAGCTCTGCCCACTTCCCCATATATGACTAAATGTCAAATTTTTTTTGGAAGAGCTTTTTGGTTGAGCCAAGGAGGGAGAGAGAGATAGATAAAGAGAGTGATAGTGAGAAAGAGATAGAAAGAGAGAGAGCAAACAAACCCCAAAAATAACCAAATTACATGACTCATCCTCAGTTACAACTTTGGAAAGAAACTGAGACATTTCAAACTAGTTTCCTTAAACCATGGCACAAATTTGAACAATTGTTTTGGGGCCTTTTGTGAGCCAACAAGGCATGAATCTTGTGGAAATTAATTTAATTTTCAAATCTTCTCTTAGCAATTGGCTGGCATCAACTCCAAGAAGTTACCTCAAATTCTTCATTGATTGCATGGCAAACTTTTCCAAGATATTCATAACTTTGGCTTGTTGAAGATTGGCCAGATGATGGCGGATATTTAAGTAACATTTCAACTTGTTTGTAATGTAAACACCACTCAGACATGATACTTTTCTTTTAATCTAAATTTTTTTTCTTTTAAAGATTTTCAAAGCATTACGAGAGTTTCAGTAGTTACCTCTAAAAGGAAAGAAGCATCATGCTCAAACCTCTCCTTTATCAGCCACCACAAAAAAAGAAAAGAAAAACACTATAAGAAACAAATCAATCTAGAACCACACCATGTGGAAAACTCTGAATTCAAAGAGGAGAGCTGTTTGGCAACTTGCTAACTTACCACTATTTTATCATCCTTTTTTTTTTTTTTTCAAAAAAAAGTGTTGTTGATTCTACATGAGCTTCCACTATTATAATCAAAACATTTGTGGATAGTCTGGTGGTTCAGTTCTAAAAATGAACTGTTAGGCATTCATAAGTCAAAATTGATAAGAGAGTCTACTATATATATATATATATATATATGTGTGTGTGTGTGTGTGTGTGTTAAATTATTTCTTCTTTTACTTGTTAAACAAAGAAGATAAATAACAATTTAAGAATATGAAATGGTGCAGGTAGGAGAGTGTCTCTGTTTCAGGAAGAGTGCTTAATTACAAAAAAAATAAAAATAAAAATCAACAGAGGCAAATTCACTCTACCACATTAGCAGATTACATACGCCAACAGTTGCCAAGAGGAACAACCTGACACTTTTCTTTTCCCGACTCACACAAAAGCAAATGGGGAAAATATTTGGGATGACATAAAAGTAAAAAGTCATAAGGTTAGAAAGCAACATCATATTGGGCTAATTAAAACTTAATTAAATCCTGATTAATTAAAAGAGTAATGTGGCAAAGTGTCAACGTCATTACAAGCACCGCACCCAGTCATGGTCAACAGCTTCTGAATATGCAGGAAAAAAATGGATGGGATGCAGACACACAAACAACAAAGCAGTTCAACAGTTAAAGAGATTATATTTATAAAATTAGACACATTATCACAGAACAACAGTTAACATTCTACTACTACATACTATTAGACATGGTGCATAGAGGTTGATCCTCATTGAATTTCTTGCACCAAACTCAGTTAAGTTTAATGAATACACTCACAATATTTGTATGTGCATATTGTATACAAATTAGATAGACAAGTATAAATATAGAACAACTGGTGAACACAAGGACTATGCTTAGCAAACCAGTTTGCTACATGTAACGTGGAGAACTGTGCTATGACTGTTACTACACAGAGAGATATACCAAAAATATATATATATATATATATATATATATATATATATATAAAAGAGATTATAATAAAAAACATAATAAAAAATTACTACACAAAAGCTTTTGTGTTTCAATACTTTGATTGTAAAATCATTTAATCACCAGTTACTTACCATCGCTTGAAGTACAATCAAAGTATTGAAACATGAAAGCTTTTGTGTAGTGATTTCAACATATTTTTATTATAATCTCTTATAATAAAAACAATAATATATTGCTCTACTTTGTATTGAGCACTTTTTTAAAAGTAAATGCTATGAACAGTGGAATTTTGCTCCATCTGATCTTTCTCTCATTTGGATAGATAGGCAGCAAGCATTCATCCAAACAGGTTTGATTAAAAAAGAACTGACAAGGTCTGTGTTTAATTTTTTTAAAGTATTTTTACAATTTTTTGGATAAGGTGTTGAGTATCATGCTCAAAGTTGTGAATAAACTGTCTGAAATTCATATTTTGTTATTTTTGTTCAAGTACTTTTGATTTTAGCAGTCATTATCAAGAACTGACGTGGTGTCTGTGTGGTAGTTAGAATTTCTTTGTCTGCATCCTGGTTTTCTTTGGGAAGCTGGACATTTGAAATGGTCTAGCATGACATTAAGTTTAACTGCGTGTGATATGGTAAGTAGGCATAGCCACAGAACAGATTGCCACTGATGACGGTGACAATTAAGGTGGTCTTTTCTTTTTCTTTGTTTTCTCTCTTCTCTCAAAACACCTCATGGAAATCACAAAAAAAAAAAAAAATTAAATTAAACCAGCTAACAAAAAACCACCTAAATCTTTCTTTCTGCAATATTCATGGTATCCATTCAAACTTTGGCAGCATAGAATCTTTTTGCCTGGAAAAGTCTTCACATATCTTTGCCCTTTGTAAAACCAACTTGAAATCTTCCATTATTACCAATGAATTCTTAGTTCCAGGGTATCTTCCACTTTGCCAAAAAGATTCCAGCATTCACATGCACAGCCTTGGTGTTTACATCCAGGATAATCTTCTGATGGCCAGGGAATTGTCTCTCAAGACCTCTGACTACTCTTTCATGTGCTTCTATCTTTCACTACTAAACTGTCAGCTATTTCTTTTTCCTTTATCACTTCCACCCCCCTCTCCTCAAGACTGCAGTCTATTAGACACAATAGCTGACAGTATAGAATAGGCAATTTCTCTCCATCCATGCGAACATTTTTTTCTTCAATAACTTTAATGCTAACCACGACATGAAACATTCTAAAGGTACTGATGTTGCTGATACGCAGACACTAAAATTTTCCATTGCCCAATCCTTAACTCAAATCATGGACTTTCCTACTCATTTCCATAGCCAAACTGAGCAACAGGCTTCTCTACTGGATCTATTTCTTACTTGGGGCTCATTCTGGGTTTTCTTTGTGCCACCCCTTTAACCCCCCCCCAATTGAAAATTGCACCACTGAGGTTTATTCTTGGGTCAAAACCAGCATTCATCCCTCCTCATAAATAACAGGTGAAATCACAATCTTCTCCATGGTTCACATCATTTTGCTTGGCCACCATAGCACACAGGAACCACCATTTCCAGCTAAACCAGCATGACAACTATTTGCTACTGCTCGTAACAAATGTAAGCGAGTCTTCAAAAAAGCTAAGTCATTCCTATCAAATCATTAAATGTATATCGTCCTGAACAGCCACTCATCTACATCCTTTCATGCTAATGTGGGTGTCCCCCCAGGTTTCCATCATTGGTCCTACACTGTTTTTAATCTTCATTAACAACCTTCCCGATGACATCAGCTCACAACTTGGCATCTACGCTGACACTGCCATTTACTCCTGCCTCGACAGCAAGGCTGATCAGTCAGAAATGGCAGCCAGTGTACAATCTAAAGACCATCGTTAACTGGGGCAAAAGTTAGCTTGTCAATTTTAATGCCTGCAAAACTAAACTGCTCTCCATTAATCATCTGAGAGACCTCTCTCTACCTTCCATCAGCATGACTGATGCTATTCTCCAAGAAAGTGACTCATTGCCTCTTCTCAGGTTTAACATTCTCAGCTGACATGAGGGGGAAAGACTACATTGAATCCCACACTAGATCAGCTGCTAAGAAAATCAGTTCACTGTATCAGGTGAGACAATTCTTCTCTCTAGAATCTATCTATAAGCCTACCATTCACTCATGCTTAGAATATTGTTGAGATATATACTCCGGTGGCCCTGCTATTTACCTTGAGCTCCTTGATAAGATAAAAAGAAAAATCAGCAATTGGCCCTGATCTGGTGGCATGGCTTCAGTCACTTGCGAACTACTGTAAGGTTGCCTCTCTGTGCCTTTTTTATAAATACTTTCACATAATTGTTCAGATTAGCTCTTCGCTACGGTACCTACACTGTATGAATACTAAACTGGCAGTGAGATCCCATCAATTTACATTTGAGCTAGCTAGAGTAGCTGTAACTTCTATGCTAACAGTTTCTCGCTTGTGGAACCCCCTCCTGGCTCCTTGTTTTCCAACCAACTTTAATCTGCAAAAATTTAAATGCAATGTCAATTACTATCTACTGTCCTCCTGATCAGTCTTCTTTCTCCTAATATGTTTCTGTTCCTAATTCCTCCACACCCCTTGCGTGATAGTACCTGTACTGCTTTGCTTGGGAGGGGGGGTGATGTCTCCTATTAGTGACCAATGTTTAAGGTTAATACAAAGAGTTTAAAGACAAATTTTCAAGAGAGGCAGGTCTCTCTGTTTGGAATATAATTTAAACAAAATCTTCCTCAAGTACCTCTCCCCCAAATGTCCTTGTGCCAGACTAACTTAAGGCCAACTAAAATATAGGAAGTATATATGCTTGAAAAGAGTATTTATTGAAGATTTTAAAATTTCTTCACAATTGCTGATGAGATTATAAAACAGTTTACAGCAAAACAAAAAGAAAAGAAGAAAGAAAAGAAGAGAAGAAAGAAAAGAAGAAAGAAAGAAAGAAAGAAAGAAAGAAAAGAAAGAAGAAAGAAAGAAGAGAAGAAAGAAAGAAGAGAAGAAAGAAAGAAAGAAAGAAAAAAGAAGAAAGAAAAGAAAGAAGAAAGAAAGAAAAAAGAAGAAAGAAGAAAAAAAAGAAGAAAGAAAGAAAGAAGAAAAAGAAAGAAAGAAAAAGAAAGAAAAAGAAAGAAAAGAAAGAAGAAAGAAAGAAAAAAGAAAGAAAGAAAAAGAAAGAAAGAAGAAAGAAAGAAAAGAAAGAAAGAAAGAAAAGAAGAAAGAAAGAAAAAAGAAGAAAGAAAGAAAAAAGAAGAAAGAAAAGAAGAAAGAAAGAAGAAAGAAAGAAAGAAAGAAAGAAAGAAGAAAGAAAGAAAGAAGAAAAGAAAGAAAAGAAGAAAGAAAGAAAGAAAAAGAAAGAAAGAAGAAAGAAAAGAAAGAAGAAAGAAAAGAAGAAAGAAAGAAAAAAAAAGAAAGAAAAAAGAAAGAAAGAAAAGAAAGAAAGAAAAAGAAAAGAAGAAAGAAGAGAAGAAAAAAAGAAGAAAGAAAGAAAGAAAAGAAGAAAGAAGAAAAAAAGAAAAGAAAGAAAAGAAAGAAAAAGAAAAAGAAAGAAAGAAAGAAAAAAGAAAGAAAGAAAAGAAGAAAGAAAAAAGAAAAGAAGGAAAGAAAAAAGAAAGAAAGAAAAGAAAAGAAAAGAAAAAAGAAAGAAAAGAAGAAAGAAAGAAAAGAAGAAAGAAAGAAAAGAAAAGAAAAGAAAAGAAAAGAAAAGAAAAGAAAGAAAAACATCAAACCACTTCCGGCAACAGTCAGTCTTTGCTCTTATGTTTGTATATGCTACAGATATAGTGGGAAACCTGGTATTCTATAGAATGCCTGAAACTTCAAGACAATGTATAAAATAAAATCTGTACACATTTCCTGGGTATTCTGTAGATTTCTTTTTTTAATGCCATGTTCCTTCAGAACACAGGGGATCATAACTCTCCACAGACTCCTTTTACCATATATACACACATGTATAAGCCGACTTCATGTATAGTGCAACACCCTGAAATATTTTTTGCATGAATTTTAACCCCCACAGAAAAAAAATTTACATATGTATACTGCAGACAGTCATCAAAAATGCCAGATTTTTAACCTCTTCAAAAAAATTACCTGTGTATAGTGCGATCCAATATTTTTTTGTGTAATAAACTTATAAAAACTATATTTGAGTACATACAGTATTTATTATCTGTGAAAATCCATAACTTCTTGGGAAAGATAATGGAGTTGTTCCCTGTTGCAATCTCTGTGATTTTCAATCAAAACTTTTCTTTCTCTTATTCTGTAGATTACCAAATATTTTTTCTTTTTTAGTCCATGTGAAATTTCCAAACTGCAGCTAAGAACAGATTTTGTTTTGTTATTAGATATTTATCTAATAACAAAACAAAATCTGTTCTTAGCTGCAGTTTGGAAATTTCAGACTATCTAAGACAAGGTGTCAAACAAAGAAATATTTTTGTGTTTTTGTGTCATTCAACTTCAGATTGATGCAATAAATAAATCTAAAATATTGCAATGTTCATTAGGATATTTTTCTGTAGTTTACATTTCAGATATTGGTTGGTTAATAATGTTTATATTTTTCAGTCATATTTTTAGTGAGTTTGGGTTTCACAGGTTTCAGTTCATTAATATGTCATCAGAATAAAAAAAATACTTTCTTATTACTCTGTTACTTTAATGAGTACACATGTTTGAATAGACACTTTTCATTTTTAAACTGTGAATTACATATACTGGCTGACACATGCAAGAAACTTAAAGAAAATGTGCACTCCGGCACCTTGCTGGGACATGATACTCTCTCTCTCTCTCTGGCAAAGTAGTCTAAAGCCTGCTAGATCAGACAGATGTTTAACCTACAAAAGGGGGTGCAGGTTCATAACCTGCTGGAGAGCACATTTTGTTTATTAACCTTTAATACTGCATTATTCACTACTTTTCTTTCCACTGCATCATTTTTCAAGGCTCCTTTACTGCGCTACTTAATTTTAGTCATGGTCATTTTCTGTTGCCATAGCAGAATATGACAACACAACTGCAAAATTCAAACACGCTAATATTCATTCGTCTGAGACACTTGCAGTGGTAGGATAAAATTTTTGCTTTGCAAGTAAAATCACTTCTAGCATGTTAAAGGTTAAATCCCCCTATGCACAGGTCAGTAGATGTAATTCACATTGTTTAAAAGAAAAAAAAACAAAAACAGGGTGTCTACTTGTATATTCACTAAAATGTAACAGATTAATAAAAAATAATGTTGGATTAAAAAGAAAAATTCAGAAATTCCTTAGAAAATACTCGCTTCCAAAGAAAATGCTAGGCATTCTATAAAAATGAATCCCAAAAATACAAGGTCAGAGTTAGAATAAAACACTAAAATACGTTTATTTAATACTCTACTAAAAGAAAAAAAAAGAAAAGGAAGAAAAAAAAGAAAAGAAAAGGAAAGAAAAAAAATGCTAGGCATTCTATGAAAATCCCCATGTAAAGAATACAAGGTCAGAGTCAGAAAACACACTTATTTAATACTTTACTAGAAAAGAAAAAAAAAATGCATTCTTGTCAATTCCTTCATTTCTCACAATACTAGTAACATATAGATTTATATCTATGAACAGACAAAATCAAAATGTTAAGCATTATATATCCCAAACTTGAAACCAATAAAAGCCATAGTATTTCTTTGCACTTGACATGTGACCGAGTCTTAGCCGTCTCCTGTGGATGGACAGCAGCATTAAGATCTGTAGCTAATAGAAAATAAGAACCAAAGAGAGAGCAAGAAAAATTTCCCCAGACAAATAGGCAAGGGTGGGGAATGACTTGAGAGGCAAGAATGAGTGGGCAGAGATCAGACACACCAAGTGTTGGTTCTTTGGCTTTTCAGCATAGTATAAAAGTTAGAGTCTGCAAAGAGGGGGGAAAAAAAGAAAGTAATCCAAAGTCAAGCCACTTTGAGAAAACAAGAACATAAATAAGCTAAAAAGACAAACAAGACACACCATGAAAATTAATATGTACTCTCAGATAGAATTCTATTATATATATATATATATATATATATATATATATATATATATATATATATATGGGGGGGATTTTTTTAGCGACAGATAAAGAACAGTATGACTTTTTCTGTATGTTATTCTATTTGTAACATCCATCACACTAAAGCAAACAGATATATGAAATGCACAAATTATCCTTGCTTTGATTTGAACCTGCAACCAGGCAAGTGATGTATCCCTTATACAGTGTAACCCGGATATAAGAGACCCGGATATAAGAGACTTCTTCTCCAGTCCCAACAACTCTCTTATATCCGGGTTACACTGTACTATATTTCTACTGCTTCAACAGTCCAGTAATTTGACTTGTAATGCTAAACAAGTGTGCACAGATACTAGGCAAGAAATTAGGGAGGCAAACACTAATCTGAGATAGACCAAACAGATACTCCGATCCTGGGGCACTAGTTTCCAACCAATTCCAACTCTAAAACCTGTTAAGAATGTTTAGGTTGATTAAGTGATGATAATAAAAAAAAATGCCATCAAGTTTTCAGAAATAAGAAAAAATGTCTTTAAAGATGAATTTAATGGCAGACAGTATTCAATCTATTACAAATAACTGTGTATTATTTTAATAAGATTTTAAATTAAATTTATATTTACAATAATGATGCAATGAAAAATAAAACACATACACACACACATATTAGGGAAAAATGTATGACAAAGTGGAAAAAACTTTTCTTGTCATGCATTTTGTTCTTTAGGACTTCATTGGACTAAAGGATGAAATGTGTCACAAGAAAACTTTCTCCATTTCATCATAGATTCCCCCCTACCTCCAATATTGTTTTTGATATATAAAAATATATATCATTATCTCTCTCTCATATATGATAAAAAAACAGTTTTAAGGTATGCTATATTTATGGGTAAAAGTGCTCAATATCCGAGATAGAAATCATGTAAATGTGAGTGGATATGACAGACAACAGTGGCAATGGATATTTTTGTGTAATTTTGGTAAATATATCTGTTAAAATGAGATGTCAGTGTTATTTTCACTATTGCATAATTTAGATGACAATTTATCCAATCCACCCTGTATATGAATGTATTACACACAAACAAAGCAGACAAAACTCAAATATAAGTTGTTTTTTTATTATTTAAACTCAAGTAAATCAATTAAACCACAAGAGATGCAAGGAGTTAGTGATAGTGAGCACAATATAAGGAGATGATGATTGACATAGCATTTAAAATTTTCAAGATCATGGCTGACAGAAAAGCAAGAAGCTGGAAATGAGTTCCACAAGTGAGAAGTGTGATAGAAGAAGCTATTAGCATAGAACCTACAGTTACATCTAGACATTTCAAGAGTGAAATTATGAGACCAAGCTGCCACTGTCTAGCAATGTGTTTCAATTTGTGTGATCAAAGAAACAAGGAAAGCTCATGAGAAGAATTACCATGAAAATATTTATAGAAGAGACAAAAAGAAACTATATTATGGTAGTGGAAAAGTGACTAAAACCAAGATACCAGATCAAGACTAATAATAACATTGCAGATTCTTGTTTTGGATTTTATCAAGAATTTCTATATACATAAGAGCAGCACCAGACTATATATATATATATATATATATATATATATATATATATATATATATATATATATGTGTGTGTGTGTGTGTGTGTGTGTATTTTTTTATACCACATATTTTCAGTACTAATTTAATGATAAAAGGAAATAGTATAGTCGTTATTTAATCATAGCAAACACATAGATCACGGTATTCTTTTTTTTTTACTTTTTTTTTTTTTTTTTTTAATTAAAATGGCATTTTCTAGGTCAAACTTGTTATGATGAAGGTGTGTATATATATATATATATATATATATATATATATATCTCAATCCACCCCAAGCAAGGCGATAATGCTACAAAGATGCAAATGGCTACTGAGAGTGAAAGAGAACGAGAAGACTTGAGAAGACTTGAGAAGGAACAGGAAACGCAATCTTAAACAGTAACCAAGGGATAAACCTCTACTCCTGTTCAAAAGAGTGAGGAGGAGTGTGAACCAGATGATAGCCGAAGATATCTACTCATATTGAAGAAAATAAATAAATAGTAAAAATTTCAGACTATAGGCAAGGATATTAAAAGTATACAATTAAAGTAAACTTTAGAAGGAACTAGAAACAGGAAACAAAGCTCTACTTTTCAAAATGGCTGGAGAGGATTGTGACCCGAATCATGATAGGCGAACCTATCTACAAACCTATATGCAATAATGCAATAGTTGCATAATCCCTTATATGGATCCTTGTACAAAAATACTTTCATGGCAATTGCACTGAGGAGCTGCATTCGCTAGTTCCCAGACTTCATGAGGTCAAGCGCCCTACGAGGCTGGCATCCTGTTCTCACACTTTTACTGTCAAAACTCCTAAATGTAGCCATCTCTTCTACTCCAATAGCTTCATGTCTCGCACCTCTCACCTGTGGAACTCTCTTCCCTATTCCAGTATCCCTGAGAGCTATAATCTCCAACTATTCAAATGTAATGTCAATCGACATCTCCAGTTGCCTTGATCTATCCACTATCCTTTCCTCTATCACTTCTATCTGATCTTGCTCCAAATCTTCTGTAACCCCTTGTATCCTAGTGGCTTCTCACCTTGCTTGGGGTGAAACGCTTAAAAAAAAAAA